TTTCTGTATACTCTCTCTATTTTTTACTTACACACACACACACACACACACACACACACACACACACACACACACACACACAATTGAAACTGACTGCTATGGGCTGGTTTAATATCACTAGCTCATCAGTGAGGTCTCTACATCAGAAACCTTGCTCCTCTCTAATGATAAGATTACGCCTAGGGGTCGGGGAAAAAATTTGCCATCCTCTGCCTTGGGACATGAACACAAAGTTTAATATTAGTTTTACTATAGCCCCTAGAAGCTTACTCCTACCTGGGCTGGTGGAGTACGCGTGTCGATTTGGGGATCGATTGTCGCGTCCCGACGAGACACGATGATTCGATCCCCGAGAGATCGATTTCTACCTGCCAATCCAGGCGCGTAGTGAAGACAAGCCCTTAGATTCTGAGCTCTTTGGCACAGGGACCATCTGTTATGTTCTGTTTTGTGCAGCACCTAACACAGTGGGACCCTGGTCCATGATTGGAGTCCCTGGGTGTTACCGCAGTGCAGATAATACAATATTCAGTAAAAGCACTTGGGGGATGGGAAATATATAATATAATATAATGAAAAAGAAGAGAGGGCTGGGTGGTGGTGGAGGAGGAAGCCTCATTTAAGAAAGGAGGAAGAGGAGTAAACTTAAAGCAGGAGCAATCCACAAATACAATGAAATTGTTCTTTCTGATCTTTAACCAAAACTTCATGAGAGGAATAAATATAATGTCAACCATTGTGTTGTGCAAGGCTTTAGGGTGCCTCTCCAAGGTATTTAATTTGTTTTTGGTAGTTCATGATACTGCACGATGATGCTCATATTTTATTCACATTTGATGCTGTGCACCAGATTCCGATGCTACTGATTTAGCACTATCCTTCTCAAGGTAGTCTCATTGATTGCAGCATGGTAAGAGGTCTGAATGTGGCCGAATATAAAACTTTAAAAGTTCCCCATCTGTAAAATGGAGATAATGACATAGGTGCTAAAACTAAGGGTGCTGACGCACCCCCTGGCTTGAAGTAGTTTCCATCATATACAGGGTTTACAGTTTGGTTCAGTGGCTCTCAACACCCCACTATACAAATTGTTCCAGCACCCCGGATAAAGATACTGACCTCCTTCATAAAGTGCTTTGAGATCTAAAGATGACGAGCGAGATACTATGTATGTATTTATTTACTCTTAAAGACTCCATATTGTGAACACAATTCTAGCTCAATACAATGAGACTTCATTGGCACGACAAATTATACCAGTCTTGCCGAAGTGTAAGAGAAGACAGACACCCCACCCCACCCCCGTCTCTCCCCTCCCTCCCCTAAGGGTGTTGGTAACCCTGGCCCCCTCAGGTTAGGGTAACACTGTATTTGGGATTGGAACCCTTGTGTCCTTTGTCAATGCTATTCATTCCCAATGGGATGGCAGGCTGCTGTGTGGCACAAAGCCATCTGTTTGTATTTGTGATGCACACGTTTACGGCCGTACTGTGTATATTTACATATAATACAATAACTGGCATTGTGTGTGTATTGATATAGGTGCATACTTATTACCACAGGGCATTTCAAAATCTGTTTCAAGTTTCCATTTGAGTAAGAGTATCTCCAGCATGGTCCTGAGGCATTCATTCACATCCGGCTCACTTGCAGACTGGACTGGGTGTTCTCTAATGCTTTCTGTTTCCTTAGTATCTCTCTGCTGCAGACCCCCCTGGTTTTACAGTGAACCCTGTTTAGGGAAAAATGTAGTCTTCGTGCCTAAAAGAGAGCAAGTCTTTCCAGAAAACTTCAGCCTTAGGGACCCATAGAGGTGGGTGGTAGGAGAATCCTAGCAAGTATTTCCACGATAACATCACTAATGTTAGCGTGGTTCTCAACGAGGGGTCTGGAGCCTCACCGGGGGAGAAGGGAGGGCTGTGAGCAGATTTAAGGGGGGCTGATAAGCAGGGCGAGCATTAGACTTGCTGGGGCCCAAGGTAGAAAGCCGAAGCCCCACTGCATAGGGCTGAAGCCTAGGGCCCTGAGCTCCACCATCCAGGGCTGAAGCCGAAGCCTGAGCAATGTAGCTTTGTGGGGGCCCCTGTGGCATGGGGTCACAGGCAATTGCCCTGCTTGCTACCCATTAACACCGACCCCAGATTTTATACTCAGAAAAGCTGTTATTGGGGCACAGGTGAGCCGTGGAGATTTTTATAGTATGTTGGTGAGGGGGGCCTAGAAAGAGAGAGGTTGAGAACCCCTGCTTTACATAGTTCCAGGCAATTGTTTGTATAGCTTGTCAATATTCAGCCTCCCTTTCTTCTTTAGTTTAATGTGACTCTCATTTTCTAAAGCACAGGTCAGCTCCAAGCTCCCTTTAATGAGAAGCCGCCTGCTCTTTCAAACCATACTTCTGTTTAGTCCAAACCCGTTCCAAACTCCAGACTTGCAAAGGAGGCTGGATTGACAGAGGCACTGCTTGTTTCTGTTGTAGCAGAGATGCAGCAGGTGATTGTAAAACACCGCTCTGATCAATACAGATGATGATCTAAACACAGGCTCTTTTGGCCTTACTGAGCTATGGAATAGTCAGAATCTGTTTGCTGGCATACTAATGTTATGGATTTCTGTCTTTTTTTTTTTTTTTAAAACACTAATCCTCTGAATGTCATACTTCTGATGCAGTGTGACTAGGCAGTCCTGAGTCTCTGTTGGACAACAGTGCATCTGATTTATTCTCCCCGCTTCCCCAGCTCACCACCTATAAACATCTGTCTCAGGATTTTTTTTTTTCCATGGCTTCTGTGTTCAATCTAGTGATGTATATTTGTTGAAACTTTACTATAATAATTAAGCATGATCTTGGCCGTGGTGATAGTATGCCAAAATCCTAATGCTTCCCCAGGCTATGGTGGTGTGCAGTTTTTTATGCTATAAAATACTAGTTAAACTGTAAATATTGATTTTGAGGGTGGGGGGGGGGTTAATATTTGGATGCCTAGCTTGAGACCCCTTACAGGGCCCTGTTATTGAGAAAGCATTGAGCACCCATGCTCTGAAAATCAGCCCCTTTCAAGGTCTCAGTCAAGTACCCAAAAATTAAAGCACCCCAAATCACTTAGTTAGATTTGAAAATTTTAGGCCATATTAAGTGCAACATGCAAGGTCTGAAGCTATGGCTTTCTTTAGAGATGTGGGTGATAGGTGCCTATTACTTGTCAATTAAAGAAAATACTGATCTATCCCACTTCCTCCCCACTCCCCGCATTACCTTTTCTCTCGCTGTGTTAGCAGGGAGCCGTAGCTGCCTCCGAATCCAAAGGTAAAGGCTACGTCCTTTGGCTAATGAAGCCAAAGCAACCCACAGCTTTCCTGCATCCGTCTCGATTTTTGGACTGTAAGTGTCCGACTGTAGAACCGTTGAGTTCCCAATGACTTCATCTAGAGTTCAGTGCTCAGCGTCTGTAATAGTCTGGTCCTGGTTGTTGAGTTGATCTGAACAAAAGCGCCTCCTGCCTGGGTTTGAAACAAACCATCCATTATGTTGGCCCACCAGTCAGCAACGGTCATTCATTTCTCATCAGAATCGCTTTATTTTCTTTGGAAGTTTATTGAAAGGGTGTCGGAAGAAACCTGCATGTTAAGAGCCTGATGCCACCATAATAAACCTTGCTAGATGCTTCCGTGCACAACAGTGTAGGAATTCTCAGCAAGCTAAAGTGGAGGGGCTTTCAAGGAAATGTTTACAGGGTATTTGCCTGGAATAAGGAATATCTCTGTTGCTGTAGCTCTGTTAGGTAGAACAGCTGTGTACAGTGCATTATTCAAAGCAGATGAATGTCAGTGGAGGGGGAGGGGTGTTACGAGGATGGATTAAGCAAGCCAGCAATTTTTTCTTTCCTAGCCGCAATTGTTGTAGGCTTTATTTTCTTCTGTTGCTTAAAATGCTCCACTTTTTGGATCATCTTTAAAGGGAAGTCGCTTTTTAAAACCATTTTATTAGCGAATATTTGTACAATGGCATTGGACGTCTAAAGCAATATATCTTATGTAGCCATATGTCCTCCAGTCCCAAGGTATCTGAGCGCCTCTCAGGGCTTTAATATATTTATCCTCACAACAGCCCTGTGAGGTTCTGCAGTGCTATTCTCCCCATTGGTACAGATGGGGTACTGAGGCATAGAGAACCCAAGTGACTTTCCCAAGGTGTCTCGCAGAGTCTGTGGCGGAGTGGAGAATTGAACAGACGTTTCCTGAACCTAGGTTAGTGTCCAAACCCTGGCCTATCCTTCCTTCTCTCTCTCTTTCTCTGTTTCCATCTGTGTTGAAAGGCCTAAGTGTGAGGGAAGGCAATGGTTCTACTGGTTTGAAACAATACCTGGGTAATCCTAGTGTTTTGGCAATGTTTAAATATTGGGAGTAGCCAGAGACTAACCCTGTGCCCATCATAGATGTTTCAGTATCCAGTTGTATGGCTTTGGCCTATCAAATAACACTTGTAAGTGCTAAGCCTTTTGACAGCCTGCATGAAAATCAAGCTGGATAAAATTCAGTGACAATCCTGTGATCAATGTAGCCGGTGGTCGAGAAAGAAACTGAGGAACTGGGCTTAATCTAATGGGCCTAGTTCTGCAAGCTATTTTGTGGGGAAGACATTGCTCGAGAGGGCTGGAGTCCGTGTTGGTCATTGGCTGATGCACTCTGATAGTAGATCTAAGGTATATATGTTGTGTGCTCAGATCTTATTTCTTTTGCTATAACCATTGCATACTTGGTACCCTACATTTTCTATGCAGAAATTGTATAAACAAAAACAACGAGGAGTCCAGTGGCACCTTAAAGACTAACAAACAAATCAAATTTAAGGTGCCACCAGACTCCTCGTTGTTTTTGTGGATGCAGACTAACTCGGCTACTCCTCTGATACTTGTATAAGCAAGGATTTTTTTAAAATGACTAGTTATTTGTGGGTGCACAACTTGAGGCAACTTTAAAGGGTCCTGATTTTATTTTTCTTTCCCCATGGACAGCAGGTGCTTAGCATCTCCTGAAAATCAGGCCCGTCTTAAGCATCTCTTGCTGAGCACACCAAATTAAAATTCACTATTGAAAATGTAGGTCATAGCAATTAAAATATATTTAGACACTTTAGACAACTAAGACACAGTCACTGTCCTGAAGAATTGACAATCTTAATGGAGACAATACAATCTGTTTGTGGGGTTGAGGGGAATGAAAAGGGGCATGTAGGGGAAGGGTTGCTGCTAGAACATGGTCTTCCATGTGATTTTCCTCCCCTCCCCCCCGAGGTGTGCATGGGTCTTGCTGGTTTATATGGCTATTCTTCCCCTCTTTATTATAAGAATGTTTCTATTTCAAACTTACCCAGTACATGTGCTGTAGAATCTTAAAAATATTCCTCTTGCTGTGGCTATAGAAAATGAGGAGAACTCTTATTTAATGCAAAGAAATGAATGTGTTTTGTGTGCAATGCTTCTAGGTTGAAAATATCCTGCTACATGATCGTGGCCATTATGTCCTGTGTGATTTCGGAAGTGCCACCAACAAATTCCAGAACCCTCAAATGGAAGGAGTGAATGCAGTAGAAGAGGAGATCAAGAAGTAAGTGCCTCTCTCTCTTTCTCTTTCTTTCTTTTTCCCCATAGCTGTTAATATTAGTACATGAGCTGCAGGTCTCCCATTCTCTGTCATCTTTCGTTTGCAACCAAGATGTTGACTGCCCCTTCCAACTGGTCCATGATGCCAGCCTCCGTCGCCCACCTGCTAAAATTTCAAACAAACTCCTTTGCGCTTTCTCCCATGCTGCCCCTCACGCTTCTAAACCTCCACAAAGCTACCTCATGAGTCTCCCTCTGAGCTCTCCTTAAAACTCTCCTTTGTCACGATACCTACCAAAAAACATGACAACCGTTAGGCTGCTGGTATGCTGAGGCCGCTGTCTAACATGGTAACCAATATTGTCTCGTTGTTTTCCCCAATGGTTTATTTGTATCCATCTGGTGTCTCTTAGCTTACAGTTTACGCTTCAGATATTTGGGATAGGGCCTGTCTTTTTGTTCTGAATTTATGCAGCACCTAGCCCCATAGGGCCCTGATCCTAGCCCTGGTGTGGTGGTGATGATAATGCTAACCTGTGCATAGGTCTAAGCATGGTAGTTTGGATGCTTTGTGGGTGAGGAAACAAATTACTCCAGAAAGCCAGGAAATTGATTTAAGACTAATAGAACCCTTGAATTGATAGATACTGACCAGCTCAGTGGTCTACATTATGGGGGTCAGTATGTCTCAGTTCCTCGCTCCTGGGGTTGCCTGCACTGCGAGGCAATGAATAGGACAAAATAATCCCTGACACACCATACATTACTCAGCAGTGACTCTTATGGTTGCCTTAAAAAATGCAGCATGGGGCTCTGAAAGTGTTCATCTGAGATTTGACAGGTGGTGGCGGCAAAGTGGGGTCCTGAGGAAGCTGTTAAAAGGGGAGAAAAGTTGGGTGATACTGTAGCAGGTCCTGAGTCAGGGAGGTGATGGTCGGGGGGAAGATATGTGGGGGAAAGGAAGGGACAGAGAATGGGAGACCTGGGGTCTCATATAGCTTAAAATCTCTATTGAAAACTCTTTGATTACTCTAACACTCCCTGACTATAAAATCACATGCTAGGAATTGCATGAAAATAACTAAACCCTATGAAAAGTGAGTCCTTCCTGCATCTCACATGTACAGCTGTTTGACTTCGATTTTTATAGTGCTCCTAGTCTTGCAATGCAGTCCAAGCCTGTTTTGCACACTTATTGCTAAGCTGGCAAAAGAAGCCGGCCCTGTGCCACACCCTTCCATAATCAAGGTAAATAGCACACACGACCACAGCATCCTTAAATCAAGGTATCCACCCTCATACAAAACCTAATTATTAGAGATCTTTTAGACTGTCTGACTCTTGCCAGTACTTTAATTACAACTGGTGCAGTTTTCAATTACCATTTGTTTTTTATAAAGTAATTTTCCTCCTGTTCACAATACCTCTGAGCAGAACTCCCAGCATGGAAGCCTATTTATTAGAAGCCACACTTGAAATTATAATGACTGGATTTTGTCCAAAGCCCCGGGAATGAGGACAGTGCAAGGGACATGCAGCTACCGACCTATGTGGAATAGCAAGTTAACATTCTGAGTTTTTGTATGTTACTAGCTCTGACTTGTAAAAGGATTGGACTTCTTGTAAGCAAACCCTTGGCTGTTAAAAGGATCTTGCAATATCCCTCGTTTCCCTAGAAAGTTTGTGGGAGTTAACTTTTTTTTTTTTAATAACCAGCTTCATTCTATCATACTTCAACCTATAAAATGCACTAGAAATCCTTTTGCTGGTTTAGAACTTCAGCACCTAGCGCATTTCTGTTATAGAAAAGTGAAATTTGAATTGTTGGGGCATGTGGAAGGGAATCCTGCGTAATTAAAATGAATGAATGAATTTCCCTCCCCAACTCACTACCCTGTGACTACCATTAACTAACAAAGCTTTCTCTTGTAGGTACACCACATTATCCTATAGAGCACCAGAAATGGTCAACCTGTATAGTGGCAAACTTATTACTACAAAAGCAGATATATGGGTATGTATGAAATCCACTCAAAATTCACATAACTGACTTGCAGCTTTGAATAAAAAAACTTGGATTACTTTAGTTAGTTCTGTATAGTGAGAGCCTCCATTTGATCTTTGTGTTGAGTTATTTCAAATGATGGTGGCCAGTTCATGAAACATGATTGAATCTCTGTTCTACTCCCTCTTATGATGCTTTAATTCAGAGCTGTATGAAATTCATTGGTTGCAGTTTGCACATGTAAGTGCAAATCCGATAACACTTCCCAGGAGTGTGCAACCTAGCATTTTTTTGGTTTGGGTTCAGATAAATCCCCAGACTGGAACAGATCCAAAGCTGCACCTGGTTTTGGGTCTTGATCACATAAAATCAAAGCTATACTGTAATTTAAAAAAAAAAAAAAGTCTGACATGGGTTCCTACCCGAGACAATAACTCGGCCCTGGATTCCCAAACCTGGCTATAGTTTTCGGTTTGTAGAAAAACCAGATTTTTCCTCATTGATGTTTTTAGCACTCTGTTTCTAGTGATAACTTCTAAACCTGTTTTACTTGCTGTCCTATTGAAGGTGAAATGTGACTGTTGAGCAATGTGTACCCATAGGACCGAATAAAATACAGGTGGCTTATCTTCACATCAGAGTGAAAAAAGAGAAGAAACTCCTGTCTCTGGTGTGTCCGCATAATGGTGGTTCTGCAGAAGTTAATGAGTAGAAGGAATGGAATGGCTTAGTTTAAAGGTTACGCTTGGGTGTAGCTAACTGCTTTGTAAAGTTCTGAGTTAGGTAACGGTCAGACAGTAACTGGTGTACAAGAGTTGAACTGTAGCCTCAACAACTGCTCTACGTATACAGCTCAATGTATACGAGAGGAAGAAAAGCGAGCACAGTACATTCTGCTGTGCAAGAGGCCATTTTCCTTGCTACGAGCTCCGTCCCGCAAAACCCTGCGTGCACACCTAGTCCTATTGAGCTTTTCATTTTGCTATGTTCAGTGGGAGCCCCTATAGGGCTGGGGCCTGTTTGTTGTGAGGAGCCTCTGGCTTGGGAGGAAGTGTGACCTAGTGGATAGGGCACTGGACTGGGAGTTGACTGGAAATTGCACGGCTGTGGCAGCATAAAAGGGAGCCAATCTGGGGAAAATTTTCCCAATGCAGGCTCTGTGCAAGGCAGCCCCCATGCCTCCAGCGTAAGGGGCAGCCCTGCAGGGGTCTCGGGTGGCTTTGCTAGCCAGAGGCAGCCTATGATGGCCCCCTTCAGTAGCTCAAAAGCAGGAGGGCACAAAACTTAATGCCACCCTAGCACCCTCCCGGGCAGAATTACTCCCTGGGTTCTATTCCTGACTCCGCTACTGACCTGCTGTTTGACCCGGACCCAGTCATTGACCTTCACAGTGTCTGTTTCCTGACCATCCTTTGTCTTTCCTGTCTCCTCAGAGCGTATCCTTTCTGGGGCAGTGTCTGGCTCTTGGGGCAGGTCTATGCCTCAGACCCCTGCCAGAATAGCTCTGTCAGGGGTGTGATCCCTGACAAAAGCTCGGTTGCCAGAAGCCTCTAGTGTAGGCATAGTTATACTAGCCAAACTGGGCTTTTCCTGGTATAACTTGTATGGCTCGGGGAGGAATGGTCATGCCCTACGAAGCATGGCATTACTGATATAGTTGCATCCATCCTAGGAGTGCTTTGCCAGTGTAGTGTACAGTATACTCCTTTTTAACAAACCATATTGTCAAACCTCCACGTTTTCTGAACCCTTCCTTGGCTCTGAGCAGGAGATGCATGAAATACATGGGTGGGGGGGTGGACGAGGAAGGGATTTGAATAATGCAGAGGTTCAGAACAGACCCCAGGCCAGGACTGTAAGGAGGACAATGAGCCTGCAGCTTTGGGGGAGGCCATCCTTGTGGCAGCCCGCCTTCTGCAGCCCCTCTGTCACAGGAGCAAATAAACTGAGCAGAGCAGAGACCACTGGCCAAGACTGCAAGGAGAACAAGTCCCTGGCCACAGAAGAGGCCACCCTGCTGCTGAATGGCTCCTGCCCTCTCGAGTGCCTGAACTCCCAATTACCCGAAGACAATCCATGTCCCCCCACTATTTGGATAGTTGGGAGTATACTGTACTGGTATTCCCAAACTTATGAAGGGCTTCTAGTGTGGATGTGGTCATGTTGTTTGTACAGAACCTAGCACAATGGAGCCTGTAAGTGTTACTGTAATAATAATAATAATTAATAATTGTGCGTCATAAACTCCATGCATTCCCTGTAGCTATTTCACAAATTACATTTAAAAATCCAGAATTAATGTTAAAGAAGAACACAATTTCATTACAATACCTTCCTTCATATTCTTTATACGCAAAAGCCAATTGTACAACATCTGGGGTTAGGAAGAAACTTTTCCCCTGTGTAGATTTTGTTGTTACAAAATTACCCCTTTTGTGAGACTTTAGCATCTTCTGAAGCAGCTAGTTCTGGCTTCTGTCAAAAATGGGATCAGGACTGAATGGACCATTTGTCTGATTGTAGTCTGGCAATTCCCTGAGACCATCCTGCTTCGTTTAACCTCCTTTCCCTTGTATTTCTCTTACTACTCTCTGTTTTCAACTAATACAAATTTACTTGGGCTTTGTCTACTCACAGATTTACTTCAGGTGGAACTATTTTGGTTAGGGCTGTCACATTTTAGCAGTACAATTCTATCAGTACAACTCCCAGTATGGACTCAATTATACCAGTATCAAAGAGTTCATACTGGTATAACTTCGAGGAACTCTTGTATTCGTATAACTGCATCTGCACTACGGGCTTGTCTGCACAAACCATCCGTTTGTGGCAAGCTTGTGCATGAATCTATCCCTGGCGAGCCTGTCACAGACTAACTGTCCAGATGGACCCAGCTGATGTGCATTTGAAGTTTAATATGCTTTGATTTAGTTCATTTTCGAAGAGGACTAGATTGAAGCAGATCAACGAACTGTCAGCAGAGTCCACACGAACAGTTAGAGGGCGGCAGGCTAATGTGGTGTAGATTCACACCCCAGGTTGCTGCCAACTAAATGTGCGTGTAGACGAGCCCTAAGAGGGTTTTGCCGGTTTGTTTATCCTGGTGTGTTTAAAGCTTTCTAGGGTAGATAAGACCTACCTCTCTTCAGGACTGTGGAACATTTTAAAAGTAGCTTGCAGCTGTGACTAGACCTTGACCTAATGAGGCTGATTTATGACAACAGAAATTGCTCTGGGTCAGAGAAATCATTGTAGACAAAATCCTCAGCCAGAAGAGAACCTCTGTACTGTGAAACTGTTCTTTCTACTCAGCACAACCCTCCTCACTATGGGGGACAATGGCAAATGTGGGTGAAGAGTTTGTATGATTGAAGCGCCTACAACTTTTTGGCCTCCTACCTGGCCCAACACATGAAGTATATTTAGATTAATTTGAAGTTGGGACCAAGTAGCCGTATCTTAGTCCCCTCCATATAGATATTGATATGTGGACTGAGGGGGTGTTGTGGCTAATAATGTGTGTGGTCTATCTTAGGTACTTATTTGCCATCCATTTTCATAGTATCTGATCACCTCATGTTGTTTTAATGTGTTTATCCTCACATGTCAGGTAGGGAAGTGCTATTATTCCCCATGTTACAGAGGGGGAACTCTGAGACAGAGGCTAAGTGACTTGATCAAGGGCATGCAGGAAACCTGTGGCAGAGCAAGGAATTGAACCCTGTTCTCCTGAGTCCCAGGCTAGTGCTCTGACCATTGGACTATCCTTCCTCTTTAATCTATGGTGGCAGTGGTTACTGTTGTCTAAATATTTCCTACTGTTTTTTCCTCTCTTTAGGCCCTTGGTTGTTTACTGTACAAATTGTGTTACTTTACTTTACCATTTGGGGAGAGTCAGGTGGCAATTTGTGATGGAAACTTCACCATTCCGGACAACTCTCGCTACTCCCAGGACATGCACTGTCTCATACGTGAGTATATGTTTCAATAGCAGAGTTTGGTTCCATGTTACAAATAAAGCTCTATTGGTTTTTATGATTTCCAACTATTAGAGCTATGGACCTAGAGTGTGTACTCTCTTTCAAAAAGGCCTGTTCACATGCAAGGATGAAGCAAATGAGTTTACAGTCATTTAGAAGATGGCTGTGCCAAAGATGGTTATGATAGTAGGTTATCACAGTCCATCCAAATAGAAACTCTATGTGGAAAACTAGGGAAATAAACAACCCTTTGGTTTAAGATTGCTTCAGAAACTTGCACAATAAGCCTGTTTATGCAAAAATGTTTCTCCAGTAATAAGTCTATTTGCATAAGAAGCTGAAAAGAGCCACAGTGACTTAGACTAGTGATAAGATTTCATCTTCTTCTGTGAACTGAGAAACAGAAGTAAAATAATTATAAATAACCCACTGACTCAAGTGATTGTGTAATTAAGGATACAATGCATTACTCTCAGCAAAGCTGGAATATCTTGCTTGCTTTCAGTAGAGCATTTGGTTTTGCCAGCTATGAGTGTGAGTAACGCAGACTCCAACATGTTTTCAAAATAAGCTGGTACTTCTTCACTGTTCCATATGCCCTGGTTTGAGCAGATATTAAAACTAAGTTAGTGCTTGAAGTCAGTTTATGCAGGGGACAAGTCAATGCAGATGTCCTTCAGCTACTCTCTCAGGCAGAGATGGGTAGAGTATTAGAAACATGTAAAGTTTTCTATTGTCATTATTGTAGGGACTAGAAGCCTCCAACTGAGATCCTAAAATATTAGGGTTGGAAGAGACCTCAGGAGGTCATCTAGACCAACCCCCTGCTTAAAGTAGGACCAACACCAACTAAATCATCCCAGATCAGTGCTCCACTGTGCCAGGTGCTGTACATACACATAGCAACAGCTGGTCCTTGCTCCAAACAGCTTACTCTCTAAATAGACAAAATAAAGGGAAGGGGAAAGTATCTATATCCCTGATTCAAAGTTGGAGAACTGAATTATAGATAGGAGCAGTAACTTGGGCCAAGGACACACCAAGAAGTCTGACAACTTCTACTGTAGGGGCACCATTAAAAAGTTCCATTGGTAGATGAATATGCTTACCTTGGTTTGCTTGGGAAAGTAAACTGACTTGGTATTTTAATTAAGGAACTGCAGCTGCTCCTGCTCCGTCTGATGTCAAGAAGAACTTTGCTATTGACTTTAATGGGAGCACAGTAGGGCTCCAGGATTGCAATTAAAGACTTCTTGGACACCCTGAGCCATGACACGTACGCTGTATAATCCCAGCAGGTCCAGTGCAAGATTTGGTACTCGGGTCTATATGTGTAGAATACATACAATCGCAGCAGAATAAGTACATTAAGTACACCATCTCTTGAGGGGTGTGAGAGATTTGCTGCCTTGCAATCCAAACTTGACCTGGAAGGTGTGGCTCATGTACCATGTGCAAATCTGGCAGACATTAGCTGCATGATTATCCATGAATCTGCATCTAATATTTGGCACCCAAGTCTTCAGATAATTTTTTTTTTTTTTAGGGTTATATGCTTGAACCAGACCCTGACAAGAGACCTGATATTTACCAGGTCTCCTACTTTGCATTCAAGTTAACAAAGAGGGAGTGCCCTGTCCCAAATGTACAGGTAAGTTCGCAGGGACCCTTTCAGTGGAGTTGGGGCTGGAATCCATCTGAAGGTTCTTTGCACTATTATTCCTTATCTCCATTTAATTTAGGCTGCTGGAGAAACCCATTGCTTTAATTTAGTTTGTGGCTCTGGGGTATAAGAATGGCAGATTCCTTGTCTGAGACAACTAGGAATCAGTGATTGCACAAAGGACACGTCCTACCTACTGAGTAATACAGGTAGATGGTAGATTAAAAGCTTTCTGGGGAAGATAACTAGCAAAGTGCGGGAAAGGAAGTAATTTTGCTGTTTTCATGGTGGCATCCATCCATCACCATGTCTAAAAGCAGCAGCAGAAGGGGTGATGAGATTTGACAGCTTCTAAATGATGTGAAAATGCGGGCGGCTAGGAAGGACAAATCTCTGGAGGTTTGGTTGTACAGGCCCAAGAAAAATCAGCAAACACTTTCTGTCTGAATGTTATCAAAGGAGGCAGTGAAAACATGTCTCTTGGAAGGAGAGAAGAGGGGGGATGCATTTAAGTGCCCTTCTTTTATGTGCACTTCAGTTTCGGTACAGGAGCAAAGGTAGGTAGCAATGATGCAACCCAGAAAGACGACAGCCCATGGGATTCCAAGCATGTTGCAGTAAAGTACAATAGAGTGGTGTAGGGAGGAGGTTTCTGTGTGTTGCACTACACCAGCAATGACTCTCTAGTCATTAATGTCTTGTGGTATTGGGAGGTGGGGGTGTGGGGAAGGGTTGGGATGCTGCCCATGTTTTGTTCTGTGGAGATTGGAAGCCTGTTCATTGTAGGTGTGAGGGAAGTGGGCAAGTTCACCGTATAGAGTCAATTCATTCTCTCTCTCTCTCTCTCTTTCTCTCTCTCCCACATTTAAGTTGAAATTTCCAAAAGTGATTAATCAGACACATTGAAGGGGGCTCAAGCTAGTCCCCCCCAAAATCAGTAGTTCCTCTTGAAAATGTAGGCCTTCATCTTTTTTCAGTTGATAATTAAGCAACATTAAATGACTACGTGAACATAAGTAGCGATAGAAATCTTGCAGGGCTACTATACAAACAATTGGTGGTGCAACTTGTTTGTGTGAAAAATGGGGGGAAACCCTGAATATTAGGACAACTGGCCTATTGCATCAGTGGGTTCCCAGGCCTATAATTAACAGAAGCATATGCTGTTTTGTGGTTTGGTTTGGTTCGGTTCCCCACTCCCCATAGTTTAAAATAAATAAATAAATATCAGCCCTGGCAAATAAACTGGACATGGTGGTAAATAAGTTACCAGTATGAGGCTGTCATGGGGAACTTCTGTTGAGGTGCATATGTACATGGCAAACTAGACCAAGCTTGTGGAACTGATTTTTCCAGGCTAATTCTTCATAGCATATGTAATCATTACTGCAGTTGGGTTTGTGATTATAGTCTGGTTAACTGAGATTAGCCAAATTCCATTTAAAATGTACACTAAATCGAATATAGTCATCTGATGATGTTTAGTATATCTTGTTAGAATCCAATTCAAAACTGTGGTTTACAGGAGCTTTATACTGTATTAGGGATATTTGGGTGGTACACAACTTTCATCCAGTTGCCTAAAGATAATGATTTGGAGACTTCCTGGTTTTTCCATTCAGCTTCGGATTACATTTCTCTTGTTTGGGGCATATTTGCAACTTTTTTATTTTGTCAAAGTTAACATACATGAACTTTCCATTGAAATATTAACCAATCTTATTCATTATCTATATTTGTTACCTTTTAAAATACCCATTTGTGTCATGTCAACCGTCTATTTGTCTATTTGTGTTCAAATTCCACAAATGGCAACCAGACATTATGAAGTTGACTTGGTCCTGATTTATAAGGTTGTCTGTCACTTTTAACATTGGAAGGGTTTCCATACTTTATTTCCCTAAGCCATTAATGATGGGGTAGTTGTCATTTTCAAAAATGATGTAACTTGACTGACTTAAGATCCTAAATCCCATTGATTTTGCTTAGGCTTTTTTTGCAAACTTTATCTATAATCCTGCATGATTTCTACTTTGTGTGTAGTAAACCCAATGGTTTTTGGATTTTCAGAATTCTCCAATCCCTGCTAAGCTCCCAGAACCAGTGAAAGCTAGTGAAGCAGCTGCAAAAAAGAGCCAGCCAAAAGCCAGGTAAGAGCATCTGTGTAACACATTTCTCTTTTCATCTGTCTCTTTTCAGATTTTGAACCGTGTTTCCATTAAAAAACCACTAGTGTTATCTTTTGGCTCACGCTACAGAAAGTAGATTGAGGTTTATACTGTAATCCTGGGACTTGTAATTTAAAATAAAAATGCTCATTAAAGTGAAAGGCAGCAAATGGTAAGATGAAAGCGAGTTCTTTCCCCGTACGCACAGTGCTGTGTCTGAGTCAGTTGCTAGATTTTTGTAAACTAATGGCACTGTTTCAATGTAGCAGCTTGAAGTCCATATGCCAAAGGTTTATCAGTCTGTTCTGCAGCATCCCTATTAAGGGCCTTATCCAGAGCCTATTGAAATGAGTAGAAAGACTCCTGTTTACTTCAGTGGCCTTTGGGTTAGGCCCCCAGAGTTTAAACCTGCAGAGCAACCACATGAACTTTTATGGATTTTAAATCCAGGAGGACCCAGTACGATCTAGTCTGACCTCCTGCAAAACATGGGCCTGACCATTTCACCCAGAGCTTCTGCTGGAGCTAGAACATCTCTTAGAATGACAATCAGCGAAGGTCTGGAGTCTGCCAGGGATTGAGAATCCACCACATAGGGAGCATATTGCTGTAATGCATGTCGTTCTGCTCGTTGATGTTCTAATAACCTCGCTAAGAACATAACGGACATACTGGGTCAGACCAAAGGTCTATCAAGCCCAATATCCTGTCTTCCGACAATGGCCACTGCCAGGTACCCCAGAGGGAATGAACAGACAGGTTATCCTCAAGTGATCCATCCCCTGTCACCCAATCCCAACTTCTGGCAAACAGAGGCTAGGGACACCATCCCTGCCCATCCTGGCTAATAGCCATTGATGGACCCATCTTCCATCCTTCCATCTCTTGTTGTGTCCTGACTCAGGTCAGACCGTAAACTCTTCAGGGCACTGAGTACATCTTTTATATTTACTGCAGTGTGTCTAATATATTCATAGGCCCTATGTAGATAACAATCAAACACTGAAAGAATACCTCTTGTGATGCAATCTACCTAGCAGCAATTAGCCCCAGAAGTTTCCCTTAGTAGTATTTTTATACCCGAGCTTCAATAATAATAGAGTAATTTCTTATCTAGCTCAGCGATCAAAAATACTGAAAGGCATTAAGATGTCTTGAGCGCCTCAGGGCACAATAATGCCCTGCGGGTTTGCATTATTATGGGATGGTAAATATGAAGGGGAAAGTACAAGTACCTGATACTTCAGTTGAAGCCAACACCTCTCGGTAAGAGTACTTTTTAAGATGCCAATCTATACAGTTCTGCTGAAGGAGGCCAGCTGCCATAAAGCGAATTCATTATGCCCTTCATCTGCTCTTCCATAAATCTATAAAAAGTCCAGATTTAAATAGTATGTTGTGTCAAACATGCACATTAAATGCATTAAGCAATTTTGACACGTTCCAGCTGTCCAGCAAGATGAAAAGCCATAATCACAAGAGAAGGCAAAATGAACATGCTGGATTAATTTTGCAAGTGCATTTGTTTCAACTTCCAAATGACTTGCAGTAGCCTGCGTAGGAATGACTCATGTATATTCACTCCGGTGTCTTTCACTTTGATTATTCACTTGCTACTTAAGCATTGTTGGCAGCAGTCGGAGCAATGCCATGTGCTACCTTCCCCAGTTTGCATTGTCATGGAGGGAGTTCCACTAACTAGGTAAAGCAGCAGATTGGGAATCGGGAGGTATAGATGCTGTTCCCTTCTCTGCCACTGCCTGGCTTAGTGACCTTGGGCAAGTCCCTTCCTTTGTCGGCCTCAGTTATTCTCCCCTTTAAAATGGGAATAATGATACTCTCTGATCTTGGTAAAGCACTTCGGTATCTACTGATAAAAGCACTATATAAATATTAAGTAATAACAAGATTATTCTGTAAAAATACGATTACTGGCCACTGGGCTAGAATGTTGGTTTGCCTGAACTTTGCAGGTAAATTTAGTTCTTTGTTCCTTAGTCTTATTTAATGGGAATCTAACTGGCTTTTGATGTAGATAGCTCTGATTTTATGGTTACCTTATGTCTCAGACCTATGTAACCATAGCAGTTTCCTGCCTTAGGAATCACTGTCCATGGTGTTCAGTAGCTCAGTAAAACATTTTTTTTAATTCAAGCAGCTAATTGGAAGCAGCTTACCTTCTTCTATTCATGTTTTGTTTTTCCTCCGACTCAGGCTGACTGATCCCATTCCTCCAATGGAAACCTCCATAGCTCCACGTCAGAGACCTAAAGCAGGACAGACTCAACCCAACCCTGGAATTCTGCCTATTCAGCCAGCCCTCACCCCTAGAAAGAGGCCCACAGCCCAGGCAGCCATCCAGCCACAAGGTGGGTCGGGGCCTACTTATAAAATCCACAGAGCAGAACCTGAGCCTGCTCAGAAGCTCCTTGAATTTGCTTAATAAATTCATTCCAACATTTCAGTCATGGCAAAAATCCTGTAGAACTGAGTACAGAGAGAACGGATAGTCTTACAGAAATTAAACAGGCTTCTAAGGAAGTTTAGTGTAAGAAGAATTAGAGCTAGCTGGTACCTTTTTCAATGGAGGAAAAAAGTGTTTTGATTTGAAGAAAGTTGGTGGTTGGTTTTTCTAGCCACCAAAACTTTTTGCAGAAATCTTTCATCCTGGTCAACAGTTTCTAGTTTTGTTTGATGGTTTTTGTTTTAATGAAAACTTGAAAATACTTTTGGTAAAGTTTTACAATTGATAGTAACATATAAAGCTTTTTTTGCGCTGCGCAAATAGTTATTTTGGAAACTTTTTTTCTTTTTCATTTTTATCAAATGGAATTTTTCACAGGAAACTTCCAAAAACCCTAAATTTCCTGTGAAAATCATTGGTGCTGTCTCACCTGCTCTGAGAATCTGGACAGTCTAGCTGAGAACCTATGGATTTTTGGAATCCTCCTATACAATTCCCTATTAAATCCCCTAGGATGCTCCTGAAGAACAATAAGATGCTGCCTCTCTTTAGGACTCTTCTCTAAGGGGAGGCTGAGTGTAAGCATTGTTCCTGGACCCTGCTGGGGCTCTGCTGGGCAGCGGGACGTTTGCATGCTCTGATCTTTGTGTACGTCGTCTTTCCCCTCTTAGTTGCAGGCCCTGCTGCTTTGGGTGGTGGCCAGCCCTCGCTTCCTGCAAGTGTTCAGCAGCCTAAAGCGCCACCTCCGCAAGCTCAACCACAGCCTGCCCCTCAGCTCCAGCCCAAGCAGCCGCCTGCTCCTCAGCAGACCCCAGTAGCCCAGCCGCCAGTCCCTTCTACTCAGCCGCAGGCCACACCTCAGCATCAGCAGCAGCTCTTCCTGAAGCAGCAGCTACTGCAGCAGCAACAGCAGATGATGCAAGCTCAGCAGGTAAGCATGGTTGCTTCTCAGTGCGTCTGGCATCTGTACTAGGCCATGGTGCCACAAGGTAGCAAGTACAGATGTCTCCAACCTACTCTTAGCAGAGGCACAGAGAAGCGTTAGAGGAACGAGGGGGTTTCTTTATTCTCTCTTCTATTGTTAGCAGCTGATGACTCAAGGTGCTATCAGGGCCTTGTTGGGTTGTGCCAGCCAAGTCAAGCTAGCAGGGCTTGGGCTGCAGGGTTGTTTCAGTACTATGTAGACTTCTAGGCTAGAGCCCGAGCTCTGGGACCCCCTGGAAGGTGGGTCCAAGTCATAGAATCATAGAATATCCGGGTTGGAAGGGACCTCAGGAGGTCATCTAGTCCAACCCCCTGCTCAAAGCAGGACCAACCCCAACTAAATCATCCTAGCTCGGGCTTTGTCAGACCTGACCTTAAAAACCTCAAGTCCAAGCATTGTGAGCTTGAGTTGGTTGGCACAGGCCAGCTGCAGGTTTTTCTTTGCTGTGTAGACGTACCCAATATAAGCCCAATGCCTAACTGACAAGTGGTAAAAGGAAGCCTCTGTTAAACTTGAATAGGTAGGTGTGTTAACTCAGGGTTACGCCAAGGAGATACCCAGTAAAACAAGGAAAGAGGAGACCTTTTTAACATTTGATCAAGGTGGGAAGGAATAGAAAATGTTGCTACATTTTTAGGGCACAAATCCAGTTTTCCAGTAGCCTTTTGCAGATGGCCTCGAAGTCCTCACCGCTTGTTTTTTATTTCCCCAATTGCCATGGCTCTCCATTTTTGTTACGGTGCCGCAGTTCCAAGTGATGCAGCAGCCAGCCATGTCGCAGTTCCAAGTGATCCAGCAGGGAGCGCCGGCGCAGCAGCAACTGATGCAGAACTATTACCAGCAGCAGCTGATTGCGCAGCAGGCAGCCATGCAACAGAAGACCGCGGCAGTGGTGGCTCAGCCAAAGCAACAGGCTCCAGTGCCGCAGCAGCCACAGGCTGCAGTCCAGCCAGCACCTGCGCAGGAGCAAGTGGTAAGAACCAGCGAGGCCTTGAAAGCTGCAGAGAAGGGAGTGGTGGGGGGGGGGGGAAGGAATGGAAGTGCAATATAAGTGCTGCTCACTGGAGGAACTCGAAGCACTTCCCGGGCACAAACCAAACTCGCAACCTGCCTGGCTAGTTGTGCGGGATATGATCCTGTTTTTGTCCCCCAGGATTCAACCCAGAGGGGCTAGGGGACAAGGCTTTCTCAGGAGGCCTGCAACTCCAGTACTTGGTACCAAGCTCTAGCTGTCAGAGCCAGTCTTGCTGCTTCTAAGGTGCTTTTCCAAGAGACAGGTTTTGTTTGGGCTTTTTCCTACCAGTAGGTGCTAGATTCTCTGTGGAAACTGCCCCTCAGGTATACTGAAGTTTGGTCTTCTGCAACAGAGCAGTGTAGGTTGAGGTGAGAGAAGGGAGGAGAATAACTTTTTCCTCTCTTGTACAGAATATACTTAACCTGCATTAAGTGTCCCTGAATACATATAGCAAAGCTGCTCAACCCTGCATGAGATACGCATCACATGCATTTCACTGATGTGGGGACGGGGTGTGGAACTGTAGCAGAGATGGATACTGCAAGTCAGGAGAGGAAAGATGGCCTGCCAAGCGTGACTTCACAATCCAGCCTGGGACTTGGGGAAACCCAAGTTCAATTCCGTGCTGTGCCACAGACACTCTGACTTGGACAAGTCACTTAGTCTCTCCGTGCCTCAGTTCCCCCTCTGTCCAGTAGGGGTAATAGCACAGCCTGCTTCACAGGAGTGTGTGAGGATACCGCCATTACAACTTTGTGAGGTACACTGATACTACAGCAGTGGGGGTACTATCTAAGACTGGAGCGGAGTGCAGGATTCCTGACTCCTAGCCCCTTGCTCTGAAAATCTGGTTGAACAATGTGCCCCATTAGGAGCTGGCAAACATTTTTTCCTATGATGTCATCTAGACGTGTTTATGCAGAGGTAATGCTAACATATGGCATAAAACTGATGTGTTCTCTCCTGGAGTGGGCTGACCAAGATCAATGGGTAGTGCCCACTCCATGTGCCAGCATTAGTCTCCTAAGCAAAGACTGTCAAGTGACTAGAATTGAGTGCCCAAACAGATGCTTTAGGGACATGGGTATGGGTGTTTTGCATTTTCCCCAGAGGGCAAGTGCTAAACACTCCCTGAAATCAGTCCACTTTGAGGCATCGTAGATTGCTAGATTCCAAGGCAGGAAGGCACCATTGTGATCATCTAGTAAACATGGGCCATGAACTTGGGCATCTGCCAACTGAAGCACCCAAAATCAGGAGTCGATTCTGAGACTCTTGACCCTAGTTTACTTGAAACCTTGATTGGAAAAAGCAGGTACAAAAAGAGCAGCCTTCCACTCTGCCTTGATTCTGGTAGGTGGGGTGGGCGTGTTTTGTGTTTTCTGGCTATATTGAAAAAGAGATTTTTACAACAGATTATACAAACAAACAAAAACCACACTCATCCATGTTCCCAATCATCCTTGCACATATATCCAAAATGAGTGCTCTTTACTTGATGGGAAATAGGACTTTCCTTGCAGTGAGACGTGAGAGCAGATGACTGTCCACTCATTAAAGACGGGAGATGTGCCAGAGAGTGTGATTCTCCCGTTACCAAAATGTGTCTGCAGTTACATTTTGTCCTTCATTGCTGCCCAAGCCTATTCATTCTTGCTTGTCTCTTGGGGAGTGGAGGGCCATCACTTCAATTTTGTTTGTGCATGAAAAGAGGATGCACTCAGTTTCTGTGCTATATCTTCTACACATACAAAGTAAGTTGCATTATATAAACCGGTTCTACTAGAGAATATTTGATTCCAAATTAAGGGCCAAATCCTGCTATCCTCATAAGTAAGTAACTCTTCTTGGGCCCAGATCTTCTCTGGTGTAGTCCCTGTGAAGCTGATGGAATGTCACCAGGGTTATTTGGCCAATGGACTTTGTCAGAATTACTCATATGACCAAAAGCTGGGGCAGTGTTTCTCTCTGCCCCCCCCCCCCACCCTCCCCACCCCTTATGGCTGTATCATACTTTTCTCTGTTACCTATGAGTTAAATTTTCATGTTTAGCTGGACATTGAATAGGGGACACAGTCACAAATCTTGTGTTCCTGAATTTGCTAGGTGACCTTGGGTAAGGTGTATTAGCGCTTTGCCCCCATGTGGGCCTGATCCAAAATCAATGGGGAGTTTGACAATTGAATTTGAATGGGCTTTGGATCAGGCCCATTCATTATCTAGCAGAGAAAGGTCTAACACGATCCATTGGCTGGGAGTTGAAGTTAGACACATTCAGGCTGGAAATAAAGCGTACATTTTTAACAGTGTAAGTAATTAACCATTGGAACAGTTTACCCAGGGTCACGTGTGGTAGATTCCCTACTATTGGCAATTTTTAAATCGAGGTTGGATATATATTTCTTTTTAAATCTGCTTTAGGAATTATTTTGGAGGTGTTCTCTGGCCTATGTTATACAGGAGGTCAGACTAGATGATCACAATGGTCCCTTCTGGCTTTGTAATCTATGAGTGATTCCACTCCCCTTACAGGAGAAAATTCCAGAGACTTAAAGAGCCTTTCTGAAGGTGCCTGAAGATCCTTTGACACAATTCAATTACGTGAAAATCTTCGTAACTTTAATAAAACAATCCAGTGTGAAAATTCCCCCGCATCCCCAAAAAGATGAATCACAACTGCTGCATGCAGTGCAGTTCCCATTCCTACAGAAACCAGGAAAAGTATTAATTGTCTCCTTTAAAAAATGAGCAGTGAGACGACATCTCTTCATAGCAGGCTCTCTCAGCAGAGAATGCCAGGCTTGGCCCTGCCAAGGCCTTTTCACGTTGCATAACTTTTTTGACATTACAAGCCATATACGTTTCTGCCGAGATTTCAGTACAACCCGTCCGTCCCTTCCTGAACACCGTTTTACTGTGACCTACAGAGAACGATACTAGGCTTAAAATGAAGCAGGTGAAGGAAGATTGCTCTTGATTGCCTTCCTCTGCCACTCTGAGCACGTGACACTGCAGCATTCAAACTCCATGCTGGATGTGTGCTTTTTTTTGTTTGTTTTTTGTTCCGGAGGAACAAAGAGGGAAATGTCTCTTTCCTGGTTGAAGATGGACCAAGATGCTGCTGCATACTGGAGCAGAGACTTAACAGAAATGCCTCAACTTGGGAAATAAAATAGATTCCTATCTCTTTCCACACCCCAGTTTTTCCCTTCTAAAATCGGGATTGAGGTACAGCTGGATTGTGAAGTCGCGCTTGGCAGGCTGACTTAGAAACCAAGTGGTGACAGATCATGCTATTATTGAACATCACAGTCTTCTTAGTGGGTGTACATGTATATGTATCTCGCAGGAGTGACGCGGTCAGAAAACGAAACTAGTTTTGTGTAACATTTTGAAGTTCTTATTTCAAAGGCTTCAGAATTGACCCATCGTGTCTCCATTTTGTATCGAAAACGCTAGGGACTAGCATTACACCCTTCAACCTCCCTATGCAATTCCTTTCCCCTTTTGCTGTTAAGACCTTTCAAATACTTTGTTACCCCACTCCCTTCTGTCCAGCCTTTCCTTGTTCCTTGGTTGAGCTGTGTACACTCCGGTAATGTTTAATAGTGTTGGCTCCCACAGCTCTGGGATAGTTTTTGTGTCATGCTGGCTATGTCCTGTATCCCCCTACTGTCTGAGCCACAGAAGATAGGAGCCCATCTCTGCTACCAGCTAATGGATTGTTCCTTTAGCTCAAGTGCTGGGCTGTGGGTTTTGGTGTTGGAGGTTCTGGGTTCTATTCTCACTGGGGGTATTGGGATGGGGGCTTGAAATGGTTACACAACAAGCCCAAATCAACTGAAGCATGTGGCTGGCTTGTGTTTTGGAAGAAATTTGTATCCTGAGTGGTGAAGAAACTATTACATCCAAGGTTTCTGTGGAAATCCCATTAAATCCATGGGGATCCATCCCCTGATAAACAGCTAGCACTCTCAGATATTCTGCTCCTTAATCCTGTCCTGCTACAACCTCTAACCCATCCATCCATCCAGCCGACAAGACTTCTGGCCTCTCTAGTGTGAATTTTTTCTGCCCTGGTTGTGAACCATTATGCCTGGTTGTGGCGGCTGCTGTTTCTCTTTTAGTAGCACACGCCGAATCCGTCTTCCCTGCCAGAGCTCCAGCGCAGCTCAAAAGTGTTGTCACTTGTGATTATATCTAAATGGGACCCTAATACTGTAGGTCAGTGAGGCTCTTTCAGTTTTCCCCTGCTCCATTATGCTGCGTGAGGTCAGGGCCCTGATGTTCAGTAATTCTTCAAACCCTGCCATTGTTCGTGGATGAGTAGCTTGTACATCTGCTTCCCTTCCTAGAAGCAGGCCCCGATAAGGCAACAGCAAAAACCTCAAACGACACCGCCTTCAGCTGTCCAGGGGCAAAAGCTGGGCTCCCTCACCCCTCCGTCCTCCCCCAAGACACAGCGCGTGGGACACAGGAGGATTCTGAGCGACGTGACGCACAGCGCAGTTTTTGGGGTCCCAGTCAGCAAATCTACCCAGCTCCTGCAGGCGGCTGCTGCTGAGGCCAGTCTCAACAAGTCCAAGTAGGTGGCTGTTGATTTTATGATGGGTACGGAGGGAGGGGAGAAGCTGTTTGCCCTGGAATGCCCAGAAAGTGAGATTGAGTCAGCTTATCTGGGACCCCAGTTTGGTACTCCCCTCCCTCCCCAGCATGCCTGAAAGCCTTCCCAAAGCCTGTTCCTTGCCCAGAGGATAAAAAAATTCCAACTGCTTCTGCTCTCTCGATGTGCCAAGCAAACTGGGCCCCCCACTCCCGGTGGACTACACGGTGGACAAGAAGGTTATCAGTAGCCCCTGGCTCTTGCTTTGCACGGAACCCCCAGCAATCCTTTGGCCGTTATTCTGAACATGGCACTGTCACAGAGTGTGGGGGAGTCAGGGCCCTGCACCCCCCCGCCCCACTTCCTGCGATTCACCGTGACTCACAGCCAGCCAGTAACACACAAGGTTTATTAGAGGACAGGAACACAGTCTCAAGCAGGGCTTGTAGATACAACCAGGACCCCTCAGCCAGGTCCCTCTGGGGGGCAAGGATCTTAGGCCCCAGACTTGGGGTTCCCTGCCTCTTCCCAGCCAGCCCCAAACTGAAACCAAATACCCCTCCAGCCGGCTCTCTCCCCCTCTCCCTTTGTCCAGCTTCCCAGGCAAAGGACTCGACTCCCCACCCCCTTCCTGGCTCAGGTACCGTCTCTCACCTAAAGTCATCCTCTGCTCTCCCATCCCCCATGCAGACAGCCCCAGTAAAACTAAACGACATTCCCAGGTCAATCCACCCCACTCGCTACTGCGTCAGAGGCACATGCAGCAATGCTTCCCCCAAAGAATCTGCTCTGTTTCATCCATACCATCAAACCTGTAAAATCAGGCGGCTGCCACATGTCCTGTTGGATACAGTCTTTTATTGCATGTTGCAATACGGCATTTCGACAGGGTTCCCTAAAGCAGCGGTTTGCGAACGTCTTGAGCTGAGCGCCCCTCTCCCCCTTTTGAGTTATGATTTTTGGTTGAGCCCCCCCAAACCCAGACAAAAATAGACGCATGCAAAAGTATACTTGATAGCTTACTCGTAAACCTAACCGAGACCTTAACGCCGCTTTAATTTACCTACACCTGGAAGTTTCAAGTACACAGATACTGACTGGCACAGCCAAGGTTGCTTCAGCAGCGGGCCAGGCTGCCCTGCTAGGGCAGGGCCAATTACTGCCCCTCCCCGCTCGGGTTTTCAGGGCGGGGGAAGGCACGTGCGACGGTCTCTGGGTGCGGAGGCTGTCGGGAGCGGAAATCCGTCTGGCCGTGGCAGATGATGCTGGCCCGCTGAGGTGAGTTGGGGGGTGGAGGTGGCGCACGCTCCCCACCATGTGGGGTTGGCACAAGCTTCCTGGCATTGCTGCTCGC